TTAGTGGCAGCATGCCAATCCATGCACCAGTTCGAGTTGCTCCAGTTGTGGCAACACAATTTTTCCGAATCACCAACTAAAGGCCGATGTCAGACTTTCCAAATCCAATCCGGCCTTTAGTTGGTGATTTAGTTCGCTAGCGAATCGCTGGATTCGCAAAGTCTGACATCGGCCAAACGGATCATGGGCGGATCGCTTTTGGGGGCGGAGTGCTTTCGAAGTCCTGCTCAGCAACCAGCGCACCTTTCGTCGTGAAAGCGCCACACCTCGCTTCCTGGCAGCCAAGTAACTGCTTCGTGTGGTGCATATGCTTCCCCGATGCGCTCCTCTTTATCGTAATCGCTTCCTTTGAACCACATTGCCTAGCGGTCCCCTCACCTAATGGTCGCTGAGTCCTGCAGTCCAAACTACGTGATTTTCTTTGTTTCGAATTTGAGTCACTTTCAGGAGATCAAAGCGTTCCGAACGAATTTAGCGTTGCTATGCAATTTCGATTGGGTTCCAATTCCGATTGCTTATCCACAGGTGACCTTACAGCAAAGCGTTCAATTCCCAAACCTTTGTATACTTCAGAGGACTGTTTGCAGGTGGTGTTTCTCGCGGTTCGCGTATACTTTGTCATCTGTCTCATCTCACGCCAATACATTGTAGACAACATGGCCGGTAACGAAAGTGTGGTAAGTCGGTTCAGCACTCAGCAATAGAGAAATTGAACTTAGTCCCATGGATTCCCCATGGAGGATGAAAATAAGTCCCTTTCTGGGATGCGCCACGCATTTCACTTCTACTCATCGTCAGCAGAGTAGTGGCATTTTGCATTTGATTTAGGCGCATACAAAAATTTGTGGGTTAAGCTAATTTACAGGTCAATGTTTTTATCCTTTCCATGCACTAGTACCAATTAGGCGACCTCGAAAGGATGGATGGCGTGGAAGGCTTGAGGCGTACGATCTCGAATTTGATCCCTGGAAGGCGCATAGCGTCATTTGCCACTATGCCACTCCCACCTACTGCCGGATTCCACATATACTAACCAATTTGCTTATGAGCACCTCTCAGAATGCGAAAGCTGATGAGAGAATGGCCAAAATCTTACAATCTATAATACTATCGCTATGGTAAGGTTTGAGAAGCACCCCAAAGTTGAGGAGAAGAAAACGAGGTAGAGTGTAATGGCTGGGGCGAAGAGAGGAAAGGAATGAAGGATGAAGAAGTGAAGAAACCAGTTTCGTATCAGCGGTACTTAAATCGCCACAAGTCGCTTTCAAAACTGTAAGAGACGTTTGCTTTAACACAATCAATTCTTCAACCAGGGTGAAAATCGCTTGTGAGGAAACGACAACGGCTCGTCGAGGATTTCTTTCACGCTCTCCCACGTGGATGCTCACTCTCGCCACCCGCGAGCCGTCTGTGCTCTCCGCGCATGCATTCACTCTCGACACTACTCTCGCACAGTAGAGAGCCATGGTCGAGGAATTCCTCGACCGTTATTCGCCCTGGAATCACAACGGTAAGGCAGAGTTTACGATGAAAGGCAGAAATCAAGGCAGGAGTGGTTTATGGTGCAGGGATGAAAAAAGAAACGATGAAGAAATGGTCAAGAACCCGAGCGACCTCAAAGATGTTGCTCTCTTCAAAGCACGCTTTCCCTCTCGACAAAACGGCTAGAGCCAGACTGAGAGGGTGTGCGTGTCGCGGAGTGAGCGGCGCTGTTATGGCTCTGCTAATCCGCTGGAGAATGGTCTTCGCTGCAAAACCGCATCGTCCCTCAACGGGCCCGCTTGCCATTTCACTAGGTATACTTCCCCTCGACCTACTACTGTATCGCGGAATCCTGCTTCAAGGACACTATTGGTGCCATTTTATTTTCCGGTTAACAAAGGGAATTTTTTCAATCAAGGAGCATCGACAGTATAGATGTAGTAATTTTTGACCTTTTGGGTAAATAGAGCGAGCTTTCAATACTGGTTCCCGGCAATAAATAGTACTTATAACGCATCGTTTCGAGCTCGTTTGAAGCAGTCTAATTTTTCTTCAAAAGGAAGATTGCAAAGGCACTGGAATGATCAATCCAAAGGTGAACTCCAATAGTGATATTTGAGCTGTATGAGTGTCAAGCGGAGTTTCAAATTCGAGTCCCTCCAGCCTTTGAAATACATACATATTTCGTCCTCAGGGCGACTTAACCTATGCTTACCCTGATGGGAGACAAGTCTCAGAGCCTTTGTCTTCAAGCGCTCAATTCGGGTGATTGAGCCGTCGTAGAAAACATCCTTCTTCATGGTATGGGTTGAGTTTTGAAAATCCGAGATGGCTAGATTATGACTAGTGCATTTAATAATGACCGCTTTATTCGCCAATGATTTCAGATAGATCTCTATGTTCCTTTCATGACAATACTTCAATTCATCTTCCTCATCGGATGGATGAAGGTAAAATTTGCAGAAATAAAACCTCAGTCATCTTCTTTTGTTTTCTGCTCCTCTTCCTTCAACCGTTTGACTATTAATGTTGAATAGGTCGCAGAAGCACTGCTGAATCCTCTGGGTGAAGACGATGACGACTTCGAATGCAATTTCCTTATCGACAAGAATATTGCGGTAAGCCTCTGACTTCATGGAGCTAGTGCTTTCTCTGATCTTGCCCACCTATCAGTGAAGAATAATGAACTGTTCTAGACGGGTCTCGCAATTGTCGACGAGACGTACGACAAATGCCCGGAGCTTATGATGGACCGATTCAAAGATCCAAATTATGTTCCGGTTTATTCAGAAGACAGCAAGAATCATGGCCATGATGGAGTACTGGTTGGCTCGGCCGAAGGCATCAAGTATGTTGCGGGACGTAGCAAGAAAAAAGTGCAGGGCAGGAGAGTCAATTGTCCGTCGTGCCGAATAAGAATTTAATGACACTCCTCCCCTCCCCCTCTCGCCTTCTATGTAGTCTCGACATAACCCCCTACCGCCACCACCAGAGTTTCTGACACTGGGACCAGTAGACACATGCCGACTGCCCCCACTTTCCTCCAAACTGCCATTCGCACGGATTCAAGGGGGTCCGGGGAGGGGGAGGTCGAAACTTTGGTGATCTTCCTATTTTACAACTCTTTACTGCGACCAATTCCGTCAAAAAAATGTCAAGATCTGTCATTAAACCGACCCTTCTCACCCCTGCGCTAACGGCACCAAACCCTCATTTCCACCACCACGTCCCTCCGAGCCGACAAGTAAGAACGTTCCCCCCAGGTCCCACCACCAAAACAAAACCAAAAATACAACCTCGCACCAAATCAACCCAAAAAATCTCAATCCGACCCCTTCCAACTTGTTTAGTTCGGCACAGCGGACGATTGACCTTGTAAGGAGATCCACGTTGCGGTCGCTCACAGATTTCTCGGCTAGTTGAATCGACCTACTGCAACGCTTTTGCATCAGATCAATCAGACTATAGTGGTGTAAGCCTATTATAATTTGTCTTACGGTACGAATCCAAAAATACTGTGGGATTGAGTTCCCTCCTTTATCTACAATTCGAGGCATCTTAGAGTCAAATAATGAATTTATGGGTAAGAAATACAAAGGAAAAAATTAAAAACACCCAATCGGAAAAAGAAAAAAATATTCCTAAAAACTCTTGATGTGGTGTGTTTTGGTCCAACACCTGAATTTGAATTGATAAGATGAAGTTATTATGTTTGTAATAGAAACAAGTTGAATCAAACTATTCTATTTATTATTATCTTGATTTTGACGTTTAAGCGAAAAATTTAACCATTATGTCTTCAAGTCGAATTCTAATGATACGGCCGTTTCCTTACAGCATCGCACACAAGGCCCAGCCTTTGCCGCGCAGCCACAATGTGGATCTCCTGACCCATGGCTAGAGCAAGAATAATTTGAAGATTCTTACCTCGAAAACCCTCACAAGTTCTTCAGGCTGCAACTCGGAAAGCCCAAGTAAAAATGGTGTCACTTGAACCACGAAGTAGGTGTTTCTTCTTCATTCTCACTCTTTAAATCGTTTCTACAGTTTTCTTAAAGCTTATAGACCTTCTTAGCTTAAAAATTTTCGCAGTTCTTTGCTGATTTTTTTCACTTTTAGCCATGCGTTTGGGTGGAGCATTTCCTTGACTCTTCTCTCGTTTTCAAATCTCGTCATAGTAATTTGTACTGCATTATGTAAGGAATTTCCATGCCCAGACGGCACATATATTGAACGGATGCGAGAAAGCAGCGACGCAATCGGTAGTGGTACGAGTTGCACGCTTACTGCGCAGGATTTGCTCTAGTCAATAAAGAAGTACGTCTCTATCGCACAGCAACGCGCTGCGACTCGTCGGCAGACCCGTCTACTTCTACCTTGTTCATCGATTACCCTCAAATGCAGAAGTAAGGTTCTGCTGAGCGACCCCTGCTTTCATAGTTATTATAATGTTCCCGCTGAGCAACGTTTCCCTGGTTATTCCGGCGAACCAGGTAACTTTGCGGAATAGATCCTCTACACAAGAAGCAAAAGGTAAACAATATCGCTCATTTTCAAGTGATATTAATTTTGAAACTTTTCTGAGGTCCGAGTTGTCTTGCGGAGAAGTTACGTTGCTATTCAGAGTATGACAGTATGCCGAACATTACAGAGAAGCAAAGCGAGCCACGATCTCGAACGACGATCGGTCTACGAAGAAAACTCAGCACCGCATTGGCCCTTTCTCAGTAGGTTTCATCGATCTCTAGAAAATTTTAATCCACCCTTTTGCAGACGCTCATTTCTCTGAGCTTTACCGAGGCAACAATGCAATCGTAAAGCCTCATATTCAGCGTTTACATCGCCATGCAAAATTTCTATTTTCTTTTTATTAAATCCTTAACATTCTATGCACATTCATCTCTTAAATGTTAAATGGAATGTCCAACGCCACCCTAGAAAGGCAAAATCTCAAGATCCACTTAATGAGCTTTACTGTCTAAAGCGCTAGATACACAACTCAGAAATCGCGTCTTCACGGTTACAAGGCTTCTGTCAACCAGGGGGTGAGAGTGTAGAAGGAAAAGCAGACGTTCTTTGTGGTAGTGGGACTAAGCCTTTTCAAAGGAGGTAAAGAAAGCGGAGATTCTGTAATAGTGCGCTTGTGTGAGAGCTCCCAGACAGCACAACAAAACGCTGAATTGCCTAGCCCAACGGTTGACAGATGTCCGGAGAACCGCCACGCTAAAGGCTCTAACTTTGACGTAGCGCTTTAGCTGCAGGACTCCACAGTTCACCTATCATGCTCCGCCCACCGCTCGATATCTTGTCTGCGTCGCAATGTTGATCTGCCTATGCTCTCTCTACTCGGACTTCTCCACCGCTCTCCGCGCTCACATTATCTCTCATCTCCCTGCCTGGCCTTTTGAACTTCTCCGCAGCGTAGAGCAAAAGGCTCGTATTTCCTGTGTATTTCACGATTTTTTTTCTTTTTTCTCCACTGGCGGTCCACCTCCTACCCCTACTTTCACCATCTGAGTGGAATTACCTCATCAGTTAATGAATCTGCCTCTAAAGATATTGTGCACTTTCAGTTACTTACACTAAACTGGTCTTACTGTTCAGTCCGCGCAACGTTCCCATACAACCAGTACACCTAAGCAGCGCAACGCCGGTTTTCAGCCCGAATCCGCAACGTCCATATACCGCATTCGACCTATCTGACGGTAAACTTTCTTTATTTTCTCATTTTCAAACCGTAATAAGAATATGAAGGTGGAAGTCTTTGAAACTTTTCTTGCAGGTTTCACCTCATCACCTCAGCTGTACTGTGGTCCACATTTGGGAAAGGTGGACGAGGAAATGGATAAATCGCGAACGGATTCCGTAAAGAGTACGGTGGAAAGTGTGGATGAAAATGAGGTGAAAATAAACTCATAATTGTCTATACCATAAGAAAGATCATGCGGAAACTTTCCAAGGTATACCTTTAGAATAGCACTGCTTCTACCTGGGTACCCGCTAGAAGGCCGTCGCGCGACAATGAAGCAGAGTCAGTGGCCGAGTCGCATGTGATGTCCATTTGGGACGCGCATTCAAATTCAACTTGAACGCGCAACTCACACAAGACGCGCTGTGACTCATCCGCTGACTCTGGCCTTTTTGCCGCGCACGGGCCTCTGTCGTACCTCCTTTTACCTCACACTACGTCACCATTGGCGGTGCAATGGTGTAGTGGTAAGCAGCGCTGCTCACTACGCGCATGATGAGAGGGTTACGTCTTGGATAGTTAGGGACAACCAAGCAACTGGTACTAGGCACTAGACAGGTACTATACTTTCCCATTCTGAGTAAACAAGTACACTCACATCTCGTTGTAATAGATAAATACACTAGTCCAACTAATTCGATCCTGATGAGCCTCGTTAAAGCAACATAACACAAGAAGTCAGGTGTACGATTCCCTTGGCGCTGTAGGATAGACTGTAGAGAACAATCACACATGTGGCGCTCTTATGAATGGAAATCGCCCGACAAGGGCGGTAGAGCCTTGCAAAGTTAGCTGCAGCCGCTGCTGTTCCCCGTCCGGAAGCAGGCTGGTGTCTGGCGCTCGGCGCCTCTCATTTGTAGCGCTCTCTCGCCTCAGACTCTCTTCTCCGTGCCAGACTAACATGACCTTAGCACAGCTGCATCACACAGGTGAGTAACCTTCAACGTAAGCGTTTTCGACTGATTTTTTTTCCTTTTTTCTTACGCCGGGCCACTTAGTACCAATACTTTCATATTCCTGGGAAATGCCCCGCCATTATGCACCTGTGCACCCTTGACCTGCTAAACTTCATAACACGTAGCGCATTTAGCTAAGCGTCAACGTTCACCGTTTCAATACATAAAGATTCCGAATCCTAATATCCGGCTGCCGCGTCAATCAATTTTTTTTTTTCAGATTCCGGAACTGTTCAGAAAGGAGCTTAACGGTAGCACAAAATCAAACCAAAAAGATGTTAATGGAGAGCCTAAGTGATGAACAATTGACAGGAAACACGTATCACGAATACTTTATCCACGCTAAACATTGGACATCATGGAAGGACCGTGGAACCTTCCCTGCCCCGGCGCTAGGGAATTAATTGATAAAGAACTCGATGTTGAAAATTGGTAGCGATGCCCCTTTATTTCTGAAATCTGCTTAATTTGTTTATTTAAGCTACTTTCACTTTGCATAGCCCCATTCATCCAAAATTGATAATTAATGTTTTTTTTATGTAACAATTACACCGTAACAATAAACCATTAATTCACATTAAAATAAGACCCCAGCTTTTGGAAGATCACTCCAATCTTGTCCGTAACTAACACCTTTCTAACCATTAATTCGGGTTAACTCGTATACTGGTGGATGTCATAACGCAATTACTTGCTTTATGGCCATCGTTGTCCCCTTCTTGCCTTGTTTCCAATTTCGCGCAAATATCATGTCGATTTTCTGGAAGACAATAAAAGTTGATTTCATATGAATGTTGACTCCAAGCCAAATGCAATAATCCATGAATATGAGACCTTCAAAATCTATTCTCCAGAAATCAATCAGTAGGTGTCGACCCAACAGGTACATAACAAGGCTCCTGGGAATGGAACTTCTCCATACGATTCCGTCCATACCAATTCTGCTACGAACAGGAAAGCACAACCCCTTCAATTTACACCACCAAATCAGAAAATGCCAAATACCACCCCTTCCGGAAATAACGAAGACCACCTTCCTCGGTTGGAATTTCCCAACGTACGGTTGTCTCTGGCGGAAACTGTTCATCAAGTTCCCCACACTCAAACTCAACTAGGTGGGGAACTTGATGATCAGTTCTCGAGTTCGATAACACTTCCATTCGTTTCTGTGGTAAAGAAATTTACGATGAAAAGGCAGTTCATTGGAAATTAAGTTAGAGGGGTCAGAGATGCAAGAAAAAATGGCCTAGAACCGAGAAATGGGACCCCTTCCTTGCCCGTTGATTTGCGCATTGATGCGACTCTCATCGTGCTGCCCTCTTCAACGCTAACGCTCTCTCTCTGCTCAACGGCTAGAGATCTGCGGCGAGCGTTCGGCCAGTTGGTGGGCGTGTCGCGCCGATAGTGCCGCGTCGCCGAAGGCGTATCCTTCGCTGCGTACTGCGTGTCGGTCCGTACCCTTGAGAGTCAGCCTGTCTCTCCACTGGGTAAGTTTGCCTTCTTCGACCTCCGTCCTTATCGTGGAATCCTTTAATGGGTGTTCTACAGTCGAACGAGAATGGAGCTCATCATGAGGAATCCAATCATCAGGCTAGAGTTCGTTCCAATGTTGACGTGGAATGACTAAGTTAACGTAAACGCGTCTGGCGGACCCTTTCAATTAGCTAGATTCACCGACCGTCATCCCGTGCTTTTTAAGTGTCTCAGTGTCCAGCATCACGGGTGAGACTTTTAGTAAGGCTAGGCCCGCACCCTGCCTTTAAGTCCATGCTCGGGGATGAGTAGCCGGCATTGCACGATAACGGGCTGGTACGATCTGCATACCTTCTAGTCAATCGTCTGGCCAATTTAAGACAGAGGCGTGGTGTTACTGGAACACCTGAAAAAGCACGGGTTGGCGGTCGGTGAATCTAGCTAATTGGAAGGGTCCGCCAGACGCGTTTTAATAAAAATAGCCTTGGACGAAGTGCGATGAGGATGCACTTGTTTCGGAGCTCGATAGAACACCCGTCTTTTTGCGATGCTTTTTTTCTTGTCTCTGCCGCAATTGGCCATCGTCAACCTTCACGTTGTGCTGATGGAAGATTTCCACGACCCCTCCCTCGAATGATCTTGACACGACCTCTCTTCACCCCACCCGCCACGAAGTGATCCCCTCACACGACACCCTCACCCCATGTCTGTTTCTACCACGAGAACCGAAGTACGAAAGATCGTTAATGCAACGTTTCTAAGAATTCCCTTTTCCCCTTCCTTCACTTTTG